AATCAACACCTGAGCAACTTTCAAGAATTTATTTACGTCATCGCGAAACCAGTGAGAAAATACTGAGACTACAGTTTTGACACCCACACTTTTTTTGTAAATTAAAAATGGCACGCGAGTTGATATTGAGTTGTTAAGATCATATTGGGTCAATTTTAAACTTTGGTGAATTGCACGCAATAAATGTCACGCACTTTACCAGGGATGCAAAGCTCAAAAGGCGCGCCCGATTTCGTGTCAACTGAACATCACAAACAGACGAGTGTGCAAGGGAAAGAAGGCACGTCCTGGTATTTTCGTTTTTAATACCAAGCAAGTTATACGAAATTGAATGCAAACGTCGTCTTTTGCCGAACTCTACCTGGCTATAAAAGCGTAATGTTTGCGAAATATTTAACACACGCAGTGCAGAAATGTTATTCAAGAAACTTACTAAGACGACAGAATTATGTGAGCACCAGCAATGCCACTTCCAAACTCGCTCGAAACAAATTCAACAGGTCACGGAAACAGGCGAAAAGTCCAAAGGACGACAGCGGAGGCTCCGCCACTATCTGGCGTCGCCCTATCGCCCGTCCCGCCGACCCTCCCCGGAGCCACCGCCGGGGTCAGTCGCTCGGCGACGCTACGGCGCCCTCCCCACGCGATCGGCCGCAGGAGGCGCCGCACAGTGTGTGATTTCAGGATGCTAGCCGCTCAAAATTATTTTCTCGCAAACTACTCATTTAATTTTGACGAAACTTTGCACCACTTACTTGCCTAAAGGTACTTGATCATCTCTGATGACGTGAAGGTCGCATGTATAGGGTTAATAAGTTCGGATTCCAGTTCGTTCACAGACAAAAAAAGTAAATCTTTGTTATCGAGACATACTTTAAAAATTCACAGCTCACAAATGTCTTGACACGAAAAAAACATGAATCAATAACTATTTACACATTATATAAGATACAATATTTGTTTTATTATGTTTGATTGTACTTCGCAACTCTTGAACATTTTTTGAAAATACAGTAACAGTTTCGCTTCATCCAAATAATTTCCTGTAATTTAGTTTTTGAATGTTCTGTTGCTGCTGATGAAAGTCAGATGATACTAAGAGTCTGTAAAACAAGATCAGTATCTGCATTCAGTCACGAAGATTTCGCGTGAGAACCATTTCTCTGAAACGTCTGTATCTTTGTTAGCGCTTCTTGCAGTTCCTCTGAAAGTTGCCCCATAGGCCAGAATATATGCTGTCATTTACACATATTAACCATGAACAATAATTTATGCACAGATACTGACATGTAGTAACAACTATGTGTTTCAAGAGAAATTATTTTTGTGTCTTTAACATATGTCCCAAATTTGACTTATTAATTTCATGACCACAAGCGAGAGTTTCCAGGAATTATTTTTAAAAATATGTGAATTAAATATTCATGGATTCCATTAATAGAAAGCGCTTAGAGGATTGTTTTTGAAAAATCTTCGGGCAGTATTGCAGTCATTACTATTACCATATCCTTTCTTCGGCCTGTCAATAATTAAATCTAACTCTTTCTGTTGTTTCCGAAAAATGTTGAAGAACCCTCTCTATATTTGAGGGTAGCACGTTCCCATTTCATCCCTAATGACAGATTGAGTTTCTTTTACGTAACTGATTTATTAGGTGAAGCAAGTGAGAGCTCTGCGACAATTTTTGCCACATTTCTTTTACCAGAGTATCTAAGACTAGTTTTTGAGTACTGCAACTAATTCAGAGGACGTTTGCTGTATCGACGATAGCCTTCACCTGTCTTCGCTTTGTAGCAATCAATAAATAACTTTCTTGGTCGTCTACTCTTGTTATAGAAGATGAATTTAGAGTACTGGCTGATAGACCCACACAACTAAATTTCTCTTCGAATTCGATTTCTTTTGAAAGCCTCAATTCGTTCGTGTCAAAAATTTCTCTCTCACAACTTGCCGATATTTGCCATCGTTCACTAGTTTTTTTAGAACTTAGAATTTTCACAGCTTAAAATTGCGATTTTAAGTTATTTGCTGATGTCTTCTGAAACAATCTTCTAAGCCTAGTTGCAGAGTTATATGCTCTAACACTTCGTCGTTCTGTTTGTAAAGTATTTAAGCGCCACACTCGAAAAGCGCGGCGTCGCGTAATGAGCGGCATCGTCACTGAAAAATAATATATTACGATTGAAAGAGCAGCTAGGAGCAGCTGGAATGTGATTAAATCATGAACAATAGTCTGGGTAATACATACATGTTGAGTTTACGGCGGAAGTCATGGGGATAACTTTATAACTCAAGAATAAAGATATTAAAAAATAAAAATCTGAAATTTTGAGACTCCATTATGAGAGTCATTTTCATATTATATTTTATTTAAATATCTCGAAATTAATATAAAACTAAAGTACAAACTTTACTGAATCCGATTCAGTCAGATTTATCAGTATAACTGCAAATTAAAGGCCTCCATGCGTGTTTCTTCTACACTCTGCACAACGCAACTGCACCGGGCTCACGATGTCCTGCCTGAAAAGGGTAACTTGACCGCTCTGTTTAGGCTATATTTCTTCCACCAATGATAAACAACTGTGCACCCATGTGCTCTCACTATCTAGAAGGCATTAGTTTCATCAGCTTCCCTTAAATATGCTGAGTTGGGAAAAGGTATTTTGAGCGCGCTAGGTTCGTCAAATCTCACACTGTGCGCCGGCCGCGGGCAAGCGTACCTCCGCCTTGTCGTTTGGGCATCTTGAAGCAGAGCGAACGCAGGGCAGGGGCGGACTCCGCTGGCGCTGGGGCGCTGCCCGTCGCTGTTCCTTCACCGCCACCACTCGCGCTGCTACCCAGCTGTCGGTGGCGCCGTCCACGACGACTCGCCGCTGCCGGTGCTGCCCGAGCTGCGAGCTTCTTCGCGGCGGGCGCTTCGACGAGCGGAGCGGCTCTCGACCTCACCGCTGCTGCTCCTCTGGGTGGAGGGCGCGGGCGCTCTCTCACATGGCCCGCGGCAGAGGAGGGAAAGACGGTGGCGTCGACGCGGTGGGGCGTGGAGCGAGAGAGAGCGGTGCGAGTGGCGAACGCAGCGGGAGCGACCGTTGGTCGAGGCGAGAGGGCTGGTGTCTAGCGCGCGCAAGACGACGGGCGAATCGCGCCAAGGCACTGGAAGCGGCCCGCTGCTGCCTCAGTCCGCCGTCGCCACGTTCGCGCGCGCGCATGGAGGATATGCTGGGAGGGGAGGGAGGGGAGGGGAGGGGGAGGGGAGGGGAGGGGAGGGGAGGGAGGGGAGGGGAGGGAGGGGAGGGGAGGGGCGGCGACGGCACCGCGCCGCGCCCCCACTCCCCGCAGGAGGACGGCGTGGCGGCAAATTCAACACGGGACGGGGCGGGGCCGGGATGGGGCCGGGCCGGGCCTGGTTGCGAGGCGAAGGGGCGCATCAGCTGATCCGCCGACGCACGCTCGATGGGGGCGTGGCCTCGAGACCTGTGCTGTCCTCCTACCCCACCGCCCTTTCAGGCGGCACGTGACCATCCTTCACGCAGTAACGCTTTTCTCTTTTAAAATCAGTATTTCTTCCAGCTCACAAATCATACCTTCAAAAGCACTATTTAATTTCCATGCCGAACATGCCCGTAAATTAATAAGAATCCATCGAATGCAGTTTTAGACTTATCCTCATGGAAGCGGAAATAATAAAGCATAAACACTCCCGCTCAATTGTCCGACGTTCCAGACAAATTGATTTACTTATAAGCTCAACTGATATTTCATATTACTCGGAAATTGTTAATTTTACTACACAAATAAAATCCTATAAACCGCTTGCAATGTTTACTGCCTCCCTTCGAGGGAAATCTGTTTTATCCACCTGTGAGTACCAAGCTAAGCCAGGCGAAGGTAAGCGAAGCGGACCGCCGCGCCCTCTATGAGAGTTGCGAATGACGTGTGGCCGCCAGAGCGCAGCAGCGTCCGGCCGCGAGGCCGCGTGGTCCGCTCGCGCCTGCGCTGTCACTCGCCTTTGAACGCGGGGCGCCCACCGCCAGCCACGCCCGCAAATAAACGGGGCATCCCGCGCAGGGTTTTGCGAATGGGAAACTCCGATGGACTGTGGGTACAAGGCGCTGACGACCATGATCGAACTATCAATACAAATTCACACACACGTTTCATAACAGCAAGAAACAGTGGAACAAAAAATAAGTAGCTGTATACTACAAAAATCAGTTCTAAAAAATGTAAACAACTAATTTAATAATATTAGTGTAGCCTACGTCCACACCAAATTACATACTTCCTTTTGATGAAACTTTTATTCCCCGCTTGTATTGCACTCGATATCAGTTTTATGCGCCAAAGAATAAGAGCCCTGAAATTAGTTTTCTTTATTTACAGAAAAAGTTTATTTACAGAACTTCAAAGTTCCTCTTTAAATTTCTCTTTTCACAGAATATTTTTTACGGCATGATCCGACGAGTCTCGTACGAATCGTGCTGTGTGATCACTGTGAAAATAAACAACAATAAGACAGCAAGAAGACTCGACGAGATCATGCACGAATAAACTATATACCGTTGTAGACGCAATTAGGTAAGCTCACAGAAAAAAAACAGAAACTAGATAAAAAGTATAAACTTAAGAAGAACTGTCCAGGGTACTTATCCCCTCTTTCGTATACAGCCCAGAAAAAAAAGAAAGAAAACCATAGAAAATTAACTTGCCTCCACAAAACAAAATCTGCGCGAAGCAATGAGCACCATTGCATATATATTACATTCGGATAACCTTATTTGAAACCCGACTCAACAACTAACATTGCATTTGTGTTAGAAAGAAGCAACAAACAATTCAACCAATAGAAAGAGAATTAGCATCACCCGTGTTTGCGCCTAACTGCCTGGAAACACGTAATGCTCCCCCTCCCTTTTCCCGGCGTATTGACTGCGGCAGCAAATAAAACACGTGCCGCTATCTTTCTGCTTCTCTCCGCACTAAGCACGCTCGCAGCGATTGCTTGGTTGCTTTCCGTACTACAGCAAATCGCCTCTTTTATGAGTTTAAAGCTCTGACGGTAGATGGCAACTATTTTATGTGCGTCGAGGTTCTTTTTTCCTGTCATTGGAACGGATATGTTAAGATGGCGTCAGAAATGCAGACTACGGAAAACAAGATCATGAAGTTTTGGCCTAGAAAGAACAGAATTCTGCAAAAACGATTGCGGAGTTGCGGCCAGGAATATATTTCACGCTCGGGAAAGGTTATTCCTGCCAAAACACAACCAGGTAAACAAAGAATAAGTATTGATATATTGATGACAGCTACGCAATGTAACCCAATTTTAATCAGGGCAATTGTCTTCATATTTACACATCTGAACAATACACATTGATTATGACACAACAACTGTTGAAAACTGTGAATATCCTTACAAAACACATCGTTTCTTTTCGATTTCAAAGTGAAGCAATAATATTCCGAGATGACTCACGCATAAAAATGGCCAACACTGTCAATGACCAGCCATTACGCCAATTTTACCGATCGCCATGAATTATGCCTAATTAACCTCACAAACAATGATTTTTGTAAAAGTGTTCCAAATGTTCTAACCTCTCATTTTAACACTTTTAGATGAATTGTGTCAGTGTCCTCAACGGTGTGATGAAAAGGTTCCAACAGAAATACGAGCGAAACTTTTTGAAGAGTTTTACAAAATTGGCGACCACTCCCGTCAAAACGACTTTTTAATGGCTCACATTAAAACAAGGGCAGTGCAGAGGAGATCAACAGAACTTAAGATACCAGGAAGGAATCAGAGACGTGTAAGCTGCAAATATCAAGTACCACTACCAGTCACTTTAAGTCCTCCCCTACAACCAGGTACATATAAATGGCAATGTCTGTTAAGAAATTAATAATTACATCCACAAAAATGTGAATTATATGTTACTAATATTTTTTCCCCTTTTAGGACCGAGCCCTCCAGGACTGAAACTTGTTGAAGTGTGCCAAAAAGCATTTATGAATGTATTTGCAATAACTGAAAAAAGAGTGAGACTGCAACGGGAAAAGCTTATTGCTCGTGTACTCCAGACCAAAATTCCAAAAGTGGCAACAGCTCCAGCAACTTCAGCACCTACATCAACACTGGTCACATTCCCAATGCCCATGTCAGAACTGCCAGTAACTATGGGAACAGCGCAAAGACGACAAGTAAAAGTTGGACAAATAGGTGAAGTGGGATTGTGGCGTGATGAACCTGTTTTTGAAAGTGCCAAACCAAAGAGTGATGTTGACATTATGAAACCGTTATTGTCACTGACACCTAATCAAATAGAAATATGGAAAGAGCGACATCATGAAATTGATTTAGTAGATAATTTCTTTAGCAATCAACTATGGAAACCTGAATATATTAATACAGCAACATAATGTATGTTGTACAGTGCAATAATTTAACAAACTACAATGAATCAGGCAATGAAATATTCACTCATAATTTTGGTTGTTACTACATGTTCACAGCCACTATTGGTGCACGTGACAACCTCTGTTACATTACAAGAACCTTCCGTATGATTTTGATACCAAACAGCATGGTAAAACTTGCTTTATTCTTTATATTCCATCCATTTTGTAACGTATTTATTAAAATTTTTATATCTTTTAACATTACCAGTTTTGCATGTAATTAAAATCTACATGTTGTTCTGCATTAATTGGCACCAAAGAAAAAAAAAGTGATTTTAAAATGCATATCATGCATCAACTATTTCCTTGACTTTAACAAGGTTTTAGACTAATAAAATCAGTTTCAAAACTGATTGATGTCACTTAATGTTGTGAAGTCATTGTGATTTGTTGACATCTTGTGAATAATGTTGACCAAGCTCTCTATCAGTATTCTGGTGGTTTATAACTGTTTTTCTCGTATAAATAAAGTCATAACTTATTTTCTATAGATGTATGTTTGGTATTTGTATAGAATAAAAAGTTAGAACAAAATTTTCTTATTGATATTACAGAATCCCTTCTAATCACAAACGTGTCCATTGCCCAATCAAAATAAACATTTCACAGAGCAAAAACTTGATGTTTAGAAACAGGTTCAAAATGTTAAAAAATACATTATCATGTTTTAATATGTATCTAATGCAGGTAATCTAGACGTTCTAATATTGACCTAATCACTATAGAAAGACTTCCCAATCTTTGGCTTCAAGCTTGAACATTAAGAGCAAGTAGAATGTAAGGTTTAGTCTCTATTAGATATTTGTATATGCACTCAAATAAAAAAATAAATTAAAAAATAAGCAAATTCTGCAGAAATACAAATTAGAAATTCTATGCTCTTGTATGTTCTTCTAAAACTTTTAGTTGACAAAAAAGTTTACAGTGCTTCATACACTGTAATTTGGTGTTCAGTACTGCACATGCATAAAACTTTTTTTTTTAAATACATTTCACAGGGCTACTCAATTTCACGAGCAGTGGGCAGCAATGCATACATGCAGGCCAGAAGGGCAAACATTTCTTACGGACTTTTAAATATCATTGCACGATATGGCCACTAATGCTCTTTATCCGTCATGCAATTGATGCCATTTTCCCCTTCCCCAGTTGCTTCCCCCTACAGAGCGTTCTCCGTCGAATTCGCACCCCTGGGGGGGGATCTTCGTAGTTACCTGCGCGTTCGCAAGCAGCAAGTTCTAAAAATACCCGCGTCCTGACGGTGCGCTGCTTGTTTGCCCCGCACTTACTTGCGGCCGGGGGGACGACACGTGCCTCCAGTGACAGTCGCTCAGAGCACTGCCCATTGTCCTCGCTGCTTCCCCGTCAAGTTTCGAAGCCGCGCCGCGCCTAAGCCCACCCGCGCTCCATACGCGCGCCCTCCCTCGTGACCAAGAGGCGGCGCGGCAGCTGTTCAGGCTGCGTTTTCGAAACGCCGAATTGAATGGCAAATACGCAGACGTGGTGCGGGAATACGATGATTAATGGTGGGAGCAGGGTAAAAGGACGAACCCTCGAGACAGGGAAACGCCGATCAAACTTTATTTGTTAATTCACAGGCATCCAATAGAAACCACCTCACGTTTTTCAGGAGTATGTCATTTAAATGACAACTTCTCAATCTAATGCTACAGTAAACTTATTGTCGCAGAACAACCTATCCACGTGCAAGGGAAAAGCCACAAAAATAGTAAGCCGTGGTAATGTGACTCGAGTTTGCAATTTTTTTTTTATATTCTGAGTATTTTAAATTCTTCTAAAAACGCTTTTCCTTTATAAACACTATTTACATTACATTGTCCTTAGAAACCTCTTCAGAGGAAGTCTGGAAACAAATCAATGACAATATAGGCGTGCGCAGCCAGAAGCAAGGGGGGAGGGGGAGGATCCCATTTCTGGGCCCTCTTACCCTTTGAACTTTTTTACATTTCCTTATGACATTTTTACCAGGAAATGAAAAAGAATATACTACAAAGAGAATTATATTATAACTTTCGTGATTACTACTAATTTAATACAATGTTATAATTAAATTTGCAATAGTTTTATATTCAACTATGTACAGGGAGCCTATTCTACAAACATTCAAGTTTTGACAAATTAATTTAAATTGTGAGAAAATTATTATTAATTATTTAATGTTTATTATACAATTTAAAACGTTACTTATGCGTAACATAATAGTCGCTAATAGCTTCAACTACTTCCAAAGCGACCTAAACGACATAGAATGTTCAATTGCTACGGGGCCCCTTTGAAAATGACCAGGGGGGTCACGACCGGCTGGGCGCCGCCTGCGCACGCCTTGTGACAACGTAATTGAACCTGTTATTTGCCAGTTCTACATAATTATCCTTCTCAGCAGATCGTATCGATATTCCTCGTGTGTCTTAAAATAAAGAACGTGGCCTTCAACATAGAATGGAAAGGAGAGTAAATCGAGGGCCCGCCTCAAACGCGCAGCGGGCGGGGCAACCTTTCCCCTTGTTGAACATCACTCGTATCGATCTCCACGAGCGTCTGCGACAACCTCAACCTCGAAAAATACAACAGTCTACTAGACACCCCTAACCCAAATCCTTGTCGAGTTGCGAACCTGTGTTCAATGGAAGTTTATAAACGTACTGAACAATTTTTTTTATTGCATCATTTCATCAATTTCCACAGGCTTGATGAACTTATCTCGCCCACTCTCTTCCGTAAATAAAATTAGCGTATTAAATGTATCTTACGTATTCAATACAAAAACTTGCCGCAAGCGTATTTGTCCGAGCTGGGATTCGAACTAAGACCCGTATAAACCGCCAGCAATCATCTTACGTAAACGAACGCTCCCCACGCATCAAAACAACTTGCAATTTTCAACATTTCAAAGGTTTTAATGAAATTGAGACCAATGCCATTCAGCAAACTTTGCAGTCCTGTCGACAAGCACATTTTACATACGACAAAGAAACTTTTTTTCTCTTTCAGTGTACAGGCACTTTTAAACCACCAAGTTTTCGACCTTTCAGACCCAGTGCTAATTTTGGAATCTCCAAGCCTCTTTTTCCAATCCCCCCCCCTCCCAGTTTTATTTACAACTCTTTAAACGAAGAGTTGACAAAATATTAACATCGTACCATGCTGGCCTTCAGGAATCCTATGATGACTAAATGATGGTGTTGCTTTTGATTCTGCCATGTTTAACGAGACTACAAAAAGGATTAAATGTTGAAAAAACACGTTCTCTATCTCTCTCTACTTTACATCGATCCGTTGCATTTTTGGGAAAGTGAATTTTCGTTGATGACGCAAATCACGGCTACCGCAGGTAAAACATGAGCTTTTTGTTTTGTTTTATACTACAGGCAATAAAAAGGTTATTCCTAAACGTAACAAAATTTTCATAATCAATGCTTAACGTGGGAAAGGATACAAGGTAGTAATATTAGTTCCAAAACGTCAAGTGATGTGTTCACTTATCGCGAAAATTCTTAAAAAAATAACCCCCTCCGCCTAATAAGTAACAATATTACCATTACATTCAGTTTAGCATGGATTAACTAACTACCCAACAATTTTATGACCAAGGCTCCCCCCCCTCGTGGTAGAGAACTACCAGTTCGGAAACCAATGGCTCCGAGTCCCTCAATCAGAAGAAGCCGCCGTGGCCCGCGGCCAACTCCTGTGCCTCCGCCCCTCTAGCGACGGCGCCACCACGGCCCACTGGCCGAGCGAGCGCGCGCGCAGGCGAGTGCGGCCCGTCTTCCGCGCGGGTAATAGGCGAGGGCGAGCGAGCGTCAAAGGGGTTAACGAAGCGCGCGGGCGGAGTGACAAGGGGCGAGCGCTCTCTTTCTCTGCCTGTGACGATCCTCGGGCGCCCAAGCGGCAGTGGCCGGCGGCGGCCGGCCTAGGGCGGGGACGGTCCGGGTGACCCGCTCGGCTAACCCGCTTCACTGGAGGCGGAGGCGAAGGTGCCACGAGACGCGAGCGGGGCAAGGCGTGGAGGATGGAGGGCGGGGCGGAGCAGAACCTGTTGGGGTGGAGAGGAGAGATGCAGGCGGATCGGAATGTGGAGCGAGACCGGGGAAGGAGGGGCTGGGTTGTATTGACGCTGACACCCACGTCCGGCCGGCCAGCAGGCAGGCCGTGCGCAACACCGCCGGTCCGCCCGCCTCTCCGGTGGCAAACATTTGCGCAGACGGGCGGGGGCGCGCATCGGAGGCTCCCACACTCCGCTCGCGACGCCCTGGAGAGGCAGCGCGCGCCCACCTGCTCTGTTCCTATTCTCGCAAGCGCTACCCACCGCCCACCGCCCAAATAAACTAGTGGCACAACACAACGGCACCAACTTTCTCGTACAAGTTACTTTACTTACTGCAGTCTGGGCTATCTTTCCGGTTTTGCCCCATCGTCCTCTCACAAGCCCACGCGCAGCTCGTTGGCACCTAAAAGTATATTTTCCCAAATTTTCTCGATTTTGTGAATCAGTAATATAATTTAAATATGACATTAAGAATATTATAAAATGTTAAAATTTTATCTTATATGTATATTTTCTTTGGAAAATTTGGAGCCGTTTTTGAGCTTCACCGGGAATGCACATTTTGAAGCTAATTATCCAAAATTTTCATTTTTTTGAAAAACTTAATAAGAAAATATTTAAATTAAAAGCATTCAGAAATGCGACATATAAAAAAATGTCTTGATTTAAATATTGACATTTTCTTCTTTTTTTTCAAAATATTGTCGTCAAAGTTTTTTTATAAACAACCGACACTAGAGCTACATTTGACAAAAGGTTGAAATATTTATGCCCTTCTTGGGCATTGAGTGTATCTGGAGTAATCTTCCATTAAGTTTTCTCTTGTCTCGTCACGTCGCAGTCAATAAGTGCCTTTTATCCCATCGGTCAGGGACTCGGCGGGGTTCCCGACCGGTTACCCGTCCAGGAATCCATGGGGTCTAGAGCTGCTTAAGTTATGTGGCAGAACGGAGTGTCATTATTATTAAGCTATGCGGTTAACGACGCGGCCAAAAAATTTTGAAGTTTTCACTTATTTATTATTCGTGCATTCTGCACGATGTATTTACGCTGCAGGCTATATTTATAGAGTTAAGTATAAAAAATATTGCCGTTTCATTCAGTGTCACATGGAAATAGCAAATATTACATGGCGGGAGTCATCTTGCTTGGAGCCACCGTGGAAAGATAGAAAGAAAAGCCTGACTTTGAGCTTTGTCGTTGCATAGCGTCAGCTGTGCCGTAAGCAGTGAAGCACTGAGTTGGGGCGCAAAATTAACACAATGAAAAATTTGCATATTTCAGTAAAAATTAGCACGTTAATCGTTTTTAGTTTTTCCGAGTTCTTGATAAGAGGTGTCCATTGTTTTTATATTTTGTTGCATCTAAAGAAACAATGGACACCTCTCATATGGCCGGAGGCTGCAAAATGTTCTTCCAGTTTGGGAATTAGGAATATATTGACGAGGTTAATTACAAAGAAATAACTGAACAAACTGTTCGCACCTTATCTGTTGCCTCCATCACCACATATTAATAAGGTTCAATTCTCGTCGTAGTCAAACACGTTTAAGACAACCTATCAATGTCCCCTTAACACTCGCCAGTAACAATAGAATACATGTTAGCCCTCGAGAAATTAATACCACTGGCATTAACAACTGCAATGAACAAATCAAACACTAATATCAAAAGATTATTTTTGTTGACACCATTTCTCTTATAGACAATTTTAACAGATCATACCAATGAGGGGGTGGAGGACATCAACTCTCCGAGCGTAGTTTCTTTCTTATA